ATGTACTCACTCATAAGTGGATTCTAGATATAAAGCAAAGAACAATCAGACTACAACCCACAGAACCAGAGAGGCTATATAGCAGGGGGGACCCTAGGATGTCTGTATTAAATTTTTAATCCTGTGCATGTCCGTGTGTGTCCGTGTGTGTGTGTGTGTGTGTGTGTGTGTGCGCGCGCGCGCGCGCGTGTGTTATATGTATTGGAGTGCAGGTATCCATGGAGGCCAGAGGCATTGGACCCTGCACACAGAGTTAGAGGAGGTGGTGAGCTGCCTGACCCATGTGCTGGGAACTGAACTCAGGTCCTCAGAAGAGCAGTGTGTGTTTCTGATTACTGAGCAATCTTTCAGCCCCCTTGGAACTTTTGTTATTGTTGTGTGTTTGTTTTGTAATGTTTACTCCTACTCTGAATTCCACATGTAAATACAATGGCAAAATACTCCTTACAGTATTCTATTAGTAAGGAGAATGGAACTTCCCCCCACACTTAGTGATACCGTCAAGACCTAGAAACTGCTGGTAACCACAATTCAGCTACTTGATGGATTAAGAGGTTTGCTTTTTTCTTATTTTTAAAAGACTTTATTTTATTTTTATTTATCTATGTATATTTGTGTTAGTGTCTCTCTCTCTCTCTCTCTCTCTCTCTCTGTGTGTGTGTGTGTGTGTGTGTGGTGTGTGCACATACATGCAGGTGCCCATGGGAGTCAGAAGAAGGCATCAGACACCCTGGAGCCGTATTTGCAGGCAGCTCTCAGCTACCTGACCTGGGTGCTGGAAACTGAACTCTGGTCTTCTACAAGAGCATCAAGCGCTCTTCACCACTGAGCTGTCTCTACAGCCTCCAAGGGAGATTTTCTTTTAAAGACCTCAGAAGAGTACAGAAAAATATCGTTGGAAAAGCAGCCAAGACTGGGAGCAGCTATGACTGGAACCGGCCCAGCACCTTCACTCTTGAGCACAGTGTGACCGAAACTCACTTGGCGGGAGCCACGTGGGCTGTGATGGCTGACTGCAACCCCAGTTGATTTCTGAAGGGCTGGGGAGTAAACACTGGTTCCCCGCGGTTTCTCGCTTGCTGTCTGGGCTGATGGAGACCTCAGGTCACCCCCAGGGCACTTGTGGAGGTTTCCGGTTAGCACGGGTACATGCGCTGTCTTTCCTTCTCCTCATACGAACTCGGGCTCTGGGGCTAAGGGGTACCCTGTTATTGTGGCTTAAAGTGTTTTTGAGGAAACACTTTGGAAAAAGTGCTGCATGCATAAAGAGAACTCCAAAACCAACAATATTCTGGCACACTGAATATTAATCACTTAAAAATGTAGAGTCAGTGAACTCAGGCTGGCTGAGTTCTAGCAGGTGTGAGGGCTCTCCAATATGACCAGCAGGACAACTATAATTCTGTGAGGAACTTCTAAACCAATGCAAGTCAATCAATGCACAGCAGCTGAGCAGACTAGTCCCTTTTCTACACCTGTCTTTTATATTGAAACTCATAGAGAAAGGGAGTGATTAACTATCACCACTTATATGGAGTCCATTACGGTGTTTGTCTGACTATATGTAGGTATTAGTTCTGTCCTAGTTAGCTTCAGCTGTCAACCTGACACAGCCTTGAGTCACCTGAGGAGAGAGTCTCCATTCAGGGTTTGCCCAGATCAGATTGGCCTGTGCATATATCTGGGGAGGGGGGCTGTCTTGACTGGTAATTAGTGTAGGAGGGCCCAGCCCACTGTGGGCGGCACCACACCCTGGCCAGGTGCTCCTGAGCTAAGACTGGGGCTGTGAGTGAGCCGGCAAGCAGAGTTCCTTTGTGATTTCTTCTTCCCGTTCCTTCTCAATGATGAGCTGTAACCTGGAAGTTAAAACACACCTTTTCTTCCCCTATGTTGCTTTTGATCACGGTGCTCATCACAGAAATGGAAATCAAGAAAACAGGTTCCTATGCTTTGCTGGCTCCATGATACACAGCTTGTTCTCAGGCAGGAATCTACCCAATGCCCAACACAACCCACAGCTTCAGTGGAGACTCGATCGCTATCTACTGAGTGGATGGATGAGCTAGTTACACCAAGTTGTTTTACACTCCCAGTCTCTTTAGCCACATCATAAAATATACATAGAGATAATTTGGCCATAAATGTCCATGAGTTGTGCGATTTCATTATGTATCCCTCTCTCTTTTCATTGCTCTTTCTGTTGTGAGTGCTCTGGTTCTCTCTCTTTCTTTCTGAATGTAATTCTCTTCTGCCCCCACCCCCCACCTGCTCACCAGCAGCTCTTCCCAGCCTGCCTAACCCTACGGTCCGTGGCCATGTCTGCAGCCTCCCATACCTTGTTTTCCTTCTCTCTCTTGCTAGTATCTTTTCTCCCCGGGACCTTATGCCAAGCCTCCTCCTTGCCTGCGAAGGCACTTGGGTCTAAGAGAAAACAGCTAACAGCTGTCCTGATGTGGTGGGTGGAAAGGGAACAGACTGTTGAGGGCCAGTGACACACGAATGACATTTAGCCCGGAGTGAGTGGTCCTCTGGGCTGGGGTGAGTTGCTGATGTGCTCAGGGCTCCTAGGACCTGACCTGCTCTACCCCACCTTTGCCTTGCTCCCTCCCACTCATTCTCCATTTCAGAGGCATCATTGACTCATGCTCCCTCAGTCTCAGCCCAGTTTTCCTCGCCCTTTTCCTTGCTTCTCACAGTTCCCACCTGAGGTGCAGCCATGTTCTCATGGTGATGGCCTCTGGTTCAGACCAGCAAGCCTTGGGGTAGGGCTCTTCCCATGCCCCTGAGCACCATATAGACCTGCCCTACTCTCACTTCAGTTCCTGTGACAAAATATCCTGGAACAAAGCAACTTGGGGGAGAAAAGGCTTATTTTAGTTTGTAATTCCAGATTACAGTCTGCCATTGGGGGAAGTCAAGGTAGAAACTTCAAATAGCTGGTCACTTAACATCTATAGTCAAGAGCAGAGAGAAATGAAAGAGCGTGTGCTCAGTTGCTGAGTATCCATAGTCAAGCGCAGAGGGAAATGAATGAACACATGCTTGCTCATGCTCAGTTTAATTTCTCCACTTCATATAGTCCAAGACTCCTTGCCTAGGGAATGGTGCTACCCACAATGGGCTAGGTCACCCCAGATTAATGAAATTAATGAAGACAATCCCCAACAGACATGTCCATGGGACAACCCAATATAGACCATCCTTCCTTGAGCCTTTCTTCCCAGGTGACTCCCAGCTGGGTCAAGCTGACAAAGCTGACCCTCATAAGATCATCATCAATGTCTGCTAGACAAGTAATTAATGAGAAAAGAAGGGCCGCAGAGGCATCATGAATGTTCACGAGGACTGTAAAGTGAAGAGGTGTGAGGAGTGGAATAATTCTAGTGACAATCAGGAATTTGAGGAGATTGTGTGGAAAGAGAAGGAACTGGATGTGGAGCAGAATGTTTCTCCTGAGTGATTACAATTGGTAGAAAGTTTGATTCAGCTGAAGAATGTAATTTTGTATGAACAGATGGACACAATGGGAATTAAAACCATGCCGCCATCTGAACACATAGACACATTTCTTTGAAATAAGGCAATTTGAATACAGCCCATTATGGGCATATATCATTGTTCTAGTAAATGTCCTATTAAGCGAAAAGCTCCATCAGTATAAGTGGTGTGGAATATTTGAGCGGAAGCGCTTAGAGCTGATGATTCTTGTCAGAAGCACTGAAATGGCCATTGCCTGCAGGCCCGCATCTAAGGCTGCAAGGTTCTCAGGATTGCAGCTAATCATGTCCTCTCATTCAGGTGGGTTCCTCTGGCATGGCCTCTTCAGCCATGCGACTATTCAGAAGCATCAAGACACTAATCTCAAAAGCTTTCCTTAGGCACTAAAGAAAAGAGACTTTTTATTGTCATTGTTACCCTCAATCTTTTAGGCTAAACATTCAAGAACAAGAAAGGAACACAGAAAATCCTCCATCCAATCCATTCATTTTACAGATGGGGTAGAAGATTCATCTAGCTAAATTTGGGTGAGTTTTCTTTGCTCTCAGAGTCAGATTCAAAAGTTACAAGTAGAGCAGCTAGTGGGTTGGGTGGTGGTCAGGAGGGAGTGGGGGGGGGGGCTCAAGACAAGCCAAGGCTAAGAGACCCACCATAGCAGGAAAACACTGGCCAGATGAAGTTACCAGAAGCTGGCAAAATACTGCTCATCTCTGAGTTATATTTTCAGGGGTGACTCCAGACAAATTTCTAAATGGTTTTATTAAATAATAAACACGGAGCCAAGTGTGGGAGTGAAAGCCTTAGATCAGGGAAACAGGAAAAGCCACCAGCCAACCTTACCTCACCAACTCTGCAGCTTCCAAATGTGACAACTTCCTGTCTTACCCACGCCTATATGCCTTGTTGTTCTGTCCTCTCATTGGCTATCTTAGTCCAGCTACCTCACTTCCTTGTCACTGTCTGTCTATACAGACCTCCAGGTCTCTATGGTTGGTACTGGAATTAAAGGTGTGTGTCACCACACTCTGTTCCCTAGTGTGGCCTTGAACACACAGAGACCCTGCCTGCCATATGATCGAATTAAGGGCGCATGCTACCACTGCCTGACTTTTGTGTTTACTTAAAACGGCTTGCTATTTCCTCTGATCTCCAGGCAAACTTTATTTATTAACATACAAATAAAGTATCACCACATTTCAGCACAAATAAAATATCACCACAGGTGACCTCTGACCTCTGAGCTGGGGAAGTAACAAACAAAGCAGGCAGCAGGGACCACTTGCAGCAGGATTCACGTCCAGCACTCATTTTACAATATAGATAAAAAGGCAGCAGTACCCCTGGCCCTCTTTCCAAAATAACAAAAACGATTGTGTGCTGAGATCAAATCTTCACCCTGTTACTAGGTGAGTGACCTTGGGATGATGTTTGCAATCTGTAAAATGGAGAGGTTAACACTTCCCACCTACAAAACACTAGTAGATCCGTGGATGTTCACAGGAGTGCTGCTCACAATAGCCCAGGGACAGATGCAGCCCACTGACTTTGAAGGGATCAGTGCAGAAACAAATTGGAGGGGCTTGCATGTATGCATACGCTCAAATCCCAGGAGGGAATGGAACCGTGTTACATGCTACCATGTGGAGGGACCATGGAATCATTATGTATCTCTACCAAGAAGCTATCAAAGGACACACATGGAGTGATTCCACCTGAGGCATCTGGAGCAGGCAAAGTCAGAGAGACCAAGAGGCTAAAGAGAAAAAGGTACAAGGAGTGTTTGTATTCCACAGGTCCAGAGCTTTGGGGTGGGATTATGAAGAATTCTAGGAATGGATAATGACTGGTTGCATATTATTTGGGAATGTACTTCATGCCATTGAACTCTCCACTTTAAAAAAAATGATCAAAAACTGGGACCAGAGACACGGCTCAACTGTTCAGAGCATGTACTGCTCTTGAGGAGGACCACAGTTCAGTTCCAAACACCCATATTTGGCAGTTCACAACCATGTGTAATTCCAGCTTCAGGGGATCCAATGGCCTCTTTTGGACTCTCTCTCTCTACACACACACACACAGACACACACACAGACACACACACAGATACACACACACACACAGAGTCTGTTTTTAAAACTATGAAAAAGATAAATGCTGCTATGCATATTTTACCATAATTAAAACACAAGCCAACAGAGACTAGAATGTCTGCCATCCGGACATGCAGCACATGTAGGTGCAACTGACCTCGCTCCACCCACTTTACCTGCTCCAGGTAGTGCAGTGACAAGTTGATGTACTTGGCCTCTGTCAGAAGCAGACCTCCGACTCCAGTCTTTGCCACACGCTCTGACCCAGCCAGGTCAACCAAATGGAGCTTAGCATGTCGGACGGTAGCAGATCCTGGCTCCTTGCTGGTCAAGTGAACAGTGAAAATACAGTGTGATCGGGTTGAAGCTTGGTTCATAGGAGTCTAGAAAAGAAGAAATTGCAAAAATATAATAATTTGACTTGAGAACCCTCCAAGAATATCAAAAGATTTTTAGATTTTAGATTGTATTGTGTGCCCATGAAGCCAACATTCACGGAAGAACACCTCAATGTCTGGTCTCTTCAGCACGGTGTTACCTGCGGGGTGACTGGTATCAAATGTGGATGGGCTGTTCAGAAGGAGACAAAAGCACCCTACTGGGATAAACATGGAGTCTTTGGGGGACAGGGCAGTGGCTCAATTGGTAAAGACCTACAGTGCGAACACGAGACCTGAGCTTGGATTCCCAGAGCCTATGTGGAAAAGCCTGGCAAGGTTGTGTACATCCATAATGCTAACATGGGGCTAGGTGGGGCAGAGACAGGTCGATCTCCAGGAGTTCACTGGCTGTAGAGTTTAACACACTAGTGAGAGAGAGACCCTGTCTCAAAAGATAGATAGGAGAGAGGATTGAGAAAGAGACCCAGTGTTAACAGCTGGCTACCAAATGCACATGCACAGGACAACACACACACACACACACGCACACGCACACGCACACGCACACGCACATGCACACAGACACAAACACATGAGGAAAAGGATAGATAAAAAAGTTTACTGGGTTTGCAAGATCAAAATGTGAAATCATTTAAGTTCTAATAGCCTAATAAGAATTTATCAGAAACATAATTATTCAGAAGGGCAAAAAAGACAATGAAATTATAGAGATTTATTACATAAGAACAGTGATAGAGGAAGACATCTGATGGTGACTTCTGGTTCCTACACATGCACACACAGGTGAGCACACCTCACATATGAATGCATATGCATACACACACACACACACACACACACACACACACACATGCACATGCAGATGAGCACACCTCACATATCTCACATATGAATACATACACACACACACACACACACGAACACGCAGGTGAGCACACCTCACATATGAATGCATATATACATACACACATGAACACATCTTCACACATGAATGCATACATACATACATGCACGCATGCATTCACCACATACACATGAATGTGCTTGTTCATACCACAGAAACACACAGTAAAACAAAATAAACTGAGGATCACTTTTGATACTGTGCATACAAATAAATAACAGAATGGACTAAATGCTTATATATAACAAACACAATTTTGACACCAAGACAAGAAAATACATGAGCATATTGTAATCCTTCCAAAGTGATAATTAATACTTTAAAATATCAACAAGAAAAAAAACTCAGGATAAATGAGAAAGGGAACTAGATAACTCAAAGAAATCAGAAAAACACTTAATGAGCATTAGAAAACCTGCTCAAAGTTATAAACCCTGAGTGTCAACCTTAGAACTATGAAGATAATTATTCCATGCCCACCAGGCTGCGGCAGTACAAAACGAAGGTAAGGAAATAAGGGCTGGTGGAGACACAAAGACATGGAAGTTTTCACAAACTGCTGAGGGGAATACAAATTAAGAGATTTTAAAAAGAAATTTAGCAATATGTTATAATACTGCAAATGCAAAATCCCTACAACATAGTAATAAAACACTATGTGCATTTCCTAGAGAGAAGTTATGAGAAGGTGTACCAGGAGATACATAAATTAGAACAGCAGATGCAGTGTCCCGAGATAACAAGAAATTGGTACCGATGTATAACCCAAATGGCCAACTGTGACAGAGGAGATGAACTAGGAGAAGTTAAAATGTAGTGGCCCTCAGAAAAATTTGTCATAAACGATGATACATTTATAAAATAGAAGGTGGAGGAAAAATAAAAAGTTAAGAATGATATGAATGCTGTGATGGAGTTTACCTAATCGTAATACTGGCTCTCTCAACTATTTATGCAACTATACCTTATGCTATTAAAACAGGAAGTCATGAGTCAGGAGGCTATAGAGAATTAATGATGGTGGCGGCCTTCTACAAAGACAGACGAGAACGGCCAACAAAGGGACTCATCGTATCAGCTGTCAACTTGACAGTCTAGAATCACCTGGACAGGGCTGTGGGGAATCATTGTGATGACATTAATAGGCATGGGAAAAGCCAGCTGTGGGCAGGATCATTTCCCAGGCAAGGGATCCTGGACTGTTTAAGACAGAGTCAGGCATCGACAAGCATGCATTCCTCCCAACTCCTGCGTGCAGCTGCCTTGAGCTCCTGCTCCCACGACTCCCCTGCGGTGATGGGTTGAGCTTGGAACTGTGAGCTCGAGTAGCCTCTTTCTCCCCTGAGCTGCTTTTGCTGCGTCTTTGATTACAGCAGCAGATAGAAAATTGGTCCTGAGAAGTGCGGGCATTGGTACGTAAACCTGATTGTGGTCCTTAGGCCTTTGAAAGTGAAAGCATTTTGGGGGGCAGGAATGTGCAGGAGTTGTAAACTCTGGGCTAGAAATGCCCTAGAATGCTGGAAGAAGAGCTTAAAGGGCCATTACAATGGGGGCTCGGAAGACAAGAAAGTCAAGAGAGATGTGGATGGGGACCTGGCTCCTGAGCGTTCAGAGGACACAAGGACTCTATCAGGGACTGGATTAATGCTGCTGCTTTTATTAAAAATCACCAGAAGCAACTTCTGATTAGTGAAATCATCAGGAACTGGTAGTGCCATTCTCTATACTTTTGGGGGTTTCTATTTTCTCTAGGAAAAGAATTAATATGATGTAAAAAATGCAAGCAATGAATCAGTAGCATTGTGCTGTCAATAAAAAAAAAACAAAACAAAAAACAGAATGTTCCAGACAAATATTCATGTGAATGAATTAAGAGCCATTCAGATCTGAACCAAAGAAATTCCAGTCTGGATACCCGTGCACACAGATGGAGGAACACACGTTGATGTGTTTTCAATCAGAAATTCTTTCTGTCTATATAAATTCTCGGTACACACCATGGTTGATTTACACGAACTAGCAAAATACACAGATGTCAAAATGCTGGCCGTAGGTTCAGAGCCCCCAGTGCAGTGAGTGGGTTAAACAGGCCCAGAGTTTGCCCATCACTTCTTTCCACAATAACTAGACCCAAATCCAGGCAGCTTGTGATTTCTCCCTCTCTTTTCGTTCCTGCTGAAGTGGGTCAGCAAATAGCCGTGCGTGTAAAACCACAGACTCAAATATAGAGCCTGACTGGAGGTGATCTGGAAGTGGCTGAAGTTATTTGCGGAACCTAAACACAGGTTTCACTTCATTGTTGTGTGACGATAAATTCTATGGCTTGAACCAGAAGTCAGTTAACAGGTGATGTGAAAAAAAATCACACAAAGGGATGTCAACAGCTGCTTCTGCCTTCCAAGCTGCTGTTGCTGAAACAGCAACAAAGCTGAGGCCTTTAATGGGAATTGGAAGCATGTGCCCATTTCAAAGGAGTAAGAGATTCACACACAAAAAAGCACATTTCTGGAGCTTGCAATTAGGCACAGTAATATGTTGTAGGAATCCATGGCCGAGTTCTGTAATGTCTCATAAATACTCTCTACATGATGTAGCTGTTGGTGTCCTCTTAGATAAATTTTCCTTAGACCTCAGACAATGTTCCTCATGTGGTGCTGTGTCATTGGATGTGCCTATGTCTGCTGCCTTTAGTGAAGTCTCTATGCCTCGTGGGTATGGCCATTCCCTTGTCCTTTTAAAGGTAAAAAAAAAAATGTATTTGAATGTTTCTGAAATTGCCTGAGAACAGATGGCACCATTTAGGCAGATTCAATTCAAAACTGAGCACATGTTTTAAGCAAATGTGTTCTTGGCACTCGCCTGTGCCTTTGGAAAAATTCTCAGGATGATTAATCATCTGCATGAAGAGAGCGTTTGCGTTTTGTGTCAGTCTTTGTAGATAGCTACGCTAGGTGGCACAGAGAATAGCGGAAATGAGACCTGGCCGTGGACCCCGAGGAACTTGTAATCTAGTCAGAAATGAGAGCCCAGGTGTGTGAAATGGGAGCAAACCTGAGGTGGGGAAGAGGCGGCAGGGTGTCTAGCAGAGGAAGTGGTCTGGGCAGGGTGGTGGCTCAGTGGGGAAAGCATGGTCGCGTGTTCGGGTTTCCTTTCTACCGCTGTAACAAACACCCTGGACAAGAGCCACAGAGGGAGGAAGGGGCTTCCTCAGCTGATTCCGTGTTAGAGAAGTCCCAGCGTTAGGGACTGGTGCAGCCAGTCACATCCAGTCAAGAACAGAGAGGAAGACATGCACACCCGGTGGTTGGCTTGCTTGCTCTCAGCTACCTCTCTCCGCTCCTACACCGCTCAGGACCCAAGAGAATCGTGTCACCCACAGTGGGCTGGGCCTTCCGATATCAGTGAACAATCTGAACATTGGGATACACCACACACACACACACACACACACACAGGCTAATCTGATTTACACAATCTCTCACTAAGACTCTCTTCCCTGGTAATTCTAGGTTGTGTCAAGCTGACAGTTAAAATGAACTGGTTCACCATGCAAGCAGGAAGACCTGAGTTTTATCTCCAGCACTCACATAAAAGGCAAGACATAGTAGTGCACACTTACAGTTCCAGTACTCGGGAGGTAAAGACAGAGAAATCCCGGGGCTTACTGGCCAGTCAGCATAAGCTACCCAGCCAGCTCTAGTTCAATGGGAGACTCTGCCTCAGGCAAAACTACAAAACAGAACAAGATGGATGCTCCCAAGAAATGACACTGAGGTGATCTTTGTGTGTTGGAGTCAACCTTGAATATTGTTCCTTAATTGCTCTTAATGAGAACAATACCCATAGATAGGCTCACGTATCTGAGTACTTGACCCACTCTGCATTCCACGGATGGACAGCCGATCCACTCTGCGTTCCACGGATGGACAGCCGACCCA